TTATTTATTTATTTATTTATTTTAGGATTTGTACAAGTACAGGTGCTTAACAATAGGACGTAAGTCCCCTACTTGGTTAATACACCCACACCCACCCCCCTAAAAAATATCCCGAAAAAACCCTTCCCTGACCCGACTAAACTACAAATCAAATAATCTAAATAACACAAATACAACCTAAAATATACTAATCAACTTAACAAGTACAGACAAAGAAAATATTAACACGGCGAACGCTCCATTTAGGCTGTAACCAAGTCTGCTTTCACTCTTTTCACCAATTGCATGCAGAACAAAAGTTTGGTTTGTTTACGTTTTGTTTTCTTACGAAAAAGATCTTGGAAGACTTGTTTTGTACGTCAATGCAACTGAGTAACTCGTAATTGGTAATCAATATTGGACCTAATATTTCAATCCCCCACAATGTTATCGTATTATTCAATGGTATATTGGGGTTTCACTGAACTTTACGACAGGAGAATTTACTGACGTGTATCACGATTGTAAAATATCATTTTTATCAGATAATGAACACCATTCGGCCCTGGCTATGCTTAAACAAAATAATATAATATAATATAATATAGTATAATAATATAATGTCTATATTTAATTATTGTGAGGGTGATAATATAAGACAACACATGAAAACTGTAGTCACCATCACGATGTCGTTTATTTGTACCAGTTTAGGAACTGAACAGATTTGAAGAAACAATGTCGGGCTTGCTAGAATACCAAGAGCAGAAATCAGGGTACGTTGAAGTTTTTTGTTAACAATGCTGAGATTTTAATCTTCCATTCGGAATGAAAAATAACTAAGGCAGTTATTTGGAAGGTTTTTCTATCATTCCAAGGTTTCAAGGCTCGTAAAAGTAGTTGGAATCAGTCCCTTCTAGCTCTGTGGCTTAATTTCCTAAACCGTCACCACAGCCTATAGCTACTAAAAGAACAAACTATGTATTACACTATATCGGCTTCTTTGCGCAGAATTTTCCGTCATTTTTCCTTTTCCTAGGCTGTGTCTAGGTACATATATTTGAATAAGAATAAGGCTAGCTCACCTTCACTAGCAGGATGTATCCATTAGTTGGTTGAAGCTGCTCGACAAATAGTAAGCCCCCGCTCCACACTAAGCCGGAAATTTGAAAACGGAGGTTTCACTCTCAAAACGTATTAAGGTGGCCGAACACAATTTCGCGCGCGCTTTTGCTGATGCAATTCAGCGCGCGCACAAAGATTGCAAAAAACAAACGTGCCGTCAATA